CCCAACCATGCAGAATTCCGCCGGTTGGCTGTCCGTCTGGTATTGCACTGTCTGGCCGTACAACAGGTTCGGTGCCTGCTCTCGCAACCAGTGCAAGCTGTACAGCAGCGCCCGCAGTTCTCTTTCTGTGCTGCTAAAGTCATTCCGCTGCAGCCGCTGGGTTTCCTGAGCTTTGAAGGGCACAAGCATGCGGCTGTTGGCGCCCAGTTCTTCTCCAGGTAAGAAGGCTGCGAAGGCCCTGTCTGAGGCGTCCCCGACTAGTTCCGTCGTCAGTCGTAGGGCTGGTCCTTTCCGCCAGGTGGCTGTCCCGTTGCGCCTGCCCAGCAGCTCCATAAACAAGCCTGCCTGGTGTAGCACCTCCGCCAGGTCCCAAACCTCTTCATCCCACGCCACGCCCCGGGCTACACACCACACCATCCACGCATACAGGGGTGCCGTGGTGACGGCGGGCGTCATGGCGATGATTTTGCCGGCCACCTGCGCCACCTGCCGCGCTGTTAGCCGTTTGCCTTCGAGCTGTGTGAGCAGCGTACGGAATCTAGCTAGCTTGTCGTCTGGTACTCTGAATGCTTGCGCCTCCGCATCCACCTCCATCCCCAAGAAACAGACTCGCCTTCTTGGGATCAGCTGGCACTTGGACAGGCTGAGGGTGAAGCCTAGGGCCGCCAGCAGCCGTACCACCACCCCACACTCGTACTGTGTCGCGGCCTTCGACCCCGCGGCACCCATCTGGTCGTCTATCAGGAAAGACATGCGGACCCCTAGCTGCCGTAAAGGCTGGAAAACCTCGAGCTTCATGCTTGTGTACAAGTGGCAGGCCGGCGCCAGGCCGAACGGCAGGTGTGGCCAAAAAAGCGTCTGCCCCCACCACCGCATAGCCAGATATGTGTGCTCCCGTTCGTGGAGTGATAGCTGCCAGTACCCGCTCTTGCGGTCCGTGGTGTACAGCCAATCTTCCGGTAGGAGGTAGCTAGGTACATCTGCCAGTCGTTCGTACTTCACAGGCCGGTACTTCAAGAAACAGTTAATATACATCGGATTAATACAGAGGCGCAGCTTGCCGTCTTTTTCCACTACCCGCAAGCCATTGATAACCGTGGGGGGGGGCGCGTCTGCTGGCCATTTCCGTATCACCCCTCGGTCAAGGGCCTTTCTCAATTCGGCTGTAACAAACTCACTGTGCTGAGTCGCGCTGCGATGGTTAGGAAACTGCACGGCTCGCGGCCGGTCACCCGCCATGATAAAGTCTAGGTCACAATCCGGCACCGCGACCCGCAGCATTTCCCGCACTATAGCTAGCTTGCATCCCCGCTCCGGGGCTAGTTCTTGCCCTGGGTAGTCGCACGGCACCCACTCCAGCTGAATTCCGCCCTGCAGGTATCCCAGCCACCGTTTCTGTTTGTCCGTGAGGGGCCGGCCTTCGTTAGCTGCCTGAAAGAACACTCGCCACACTGCAACATGTAGACGTATCCTTCCTGGTTGGAAGTCTTCAGGATCTGGGAGCAAACAGACGACCTCTTCGAGAAACTCCTGTTCATCCCGCAGATCTACCGCGTCCTGTTGCCCCAGCCGCTGCAACCTCTGCCAGGCTTCCTGTAGCAGCTGGAGTGCCTCCCTGNCCCCAGCGTTGCGGGCACTCGCTTCCCAGGCTGGTGCTAGTCCTACGCCGCTGGAT